TAAAACGTCTTTCAATTTACTTTAACCCAATTAAGTAGCTATTTGCTGTTAGGAAAACAAATTTCTATACTGCAATCCCTTAATGCTCTTTTCCTAAGTCACATCTGGCTTTGTTTGGGTCTTGGGATTTCTTTTCTTTCTTTTCTTCCTTTTTTTTTAAAGTCCTCACGACAGCCACCCCAACGCCGCAGTGTCATTAACCCAGTTACAGCTTTGATTCTACTGGCTTCTCACCATGGTTCCTGCAGCCGTCCCAGCCCATTGTCCTCCCCTGCAGAGGGGTGAGTGGAAGCGGTAACTTAGGGGCTGAGGCGTTCAAAGAGATATCAGGGAGCCATCATCTGGGTGTCAAAATAGGCAAGAATCTAAATGCTGAGAATACATGCTGTGAAGAAGCAGAAGCAAGGCTGTTCTACCCCTGCTGCTGAGGTATCCCCCTCCAATGTTCTGAGAGAATGTGAAGCCCCACGTGTCCTGACATCTAGAAACAGCCTTATCTTCTCCTAAGACGAACCACAGGAGCAGCTTCTAGGTGACGGTACTATGCTGGTTGGGCCTCCCTAGCTGCTCGGTGATAAAGAATCCACCTGCCAATGCAAGACCGACAGGAGACGCGGGTTCAATCCCTGGAGGATCCCCTGGAGAAGGAAATGAAAACCCACTGCAGTATTCTTGCCTGGAGAATCCTATGGACAGAGGAGCCTGGCGGGCTACGGTCCATAGGGTTGCACAGAGTCCGACACGCACACTGTGCTGGTTGCTCTACCCAAATTATCTTTCAATATTTTCTTTTTATTTTTCAGATGAGGAAACTGAGGCTAAAAGGCAGAAAGTGACTTCTGTAGAGGTCATTTGGTCACCAGGAGATCAATCCACATAAGGGGAACTTATTGTATGTAAATTAAGGCTAAGTAGGTCCCAGAAAGCAGGGTGAGGCCATTAGGATGTGAAAAGGGGGAGCAAAAGAGGGAAACTGACCCTACTCTTCATTAGGCCAGAATTTAGGTATCAGGACATTAACCTTATGATAACGTACACTTGACCTTACTTTGTGCCCTGGTGCTCAGTTGATATTCAAATATTCCATGACTCCTCCGCTAACCCAGTTCTGAATTAGGCAGCAGGTGAGGTGAAGCTAACCAGCTACCTTGCCAACCACCTCTAATCTCATTTGCTCACCTGTGTGCACATGGCTTGCTTCTTAGACCTAAGATTGGTTACACCTACTTTGTCCAGTGTGCCTCTAGCCTCTCAAAGTCTCCCTTCAGGGAAGAGATAAAACATCCCATTTGGGGGCTGTTGGCTTCCAGCCCAAAGGCTTCATTCCAAATGGATCTGCATCTGGCTGGCCCCCCAGGGCAGACAGGTGACATCCATACTCTCAGCTTATCCAGACCATCTGCTCACTTCTCAATATACTGTTCTCTGGGTCCGTGCTAAGGCACCATTTAAGAAAATGCTCCTTTGGTGGGGATATAAGATAGATCCTTATTATAATTAACCTGATAGCCCATCAAAATTATTGTGGGTTTCCAATAGAGTCTTAATTTTCTCCATCAGGTGAAAACAAAGAGGAATCGTAAAGTAATAGCTTTTTTTTTTTAACCTCATAGACACCAAGTCAATTGCATAAGTCCAACAGTAGAGCAGCACTGTGGCCCAATGCATTGATTCCCACAAGCACTGGATGACTTTCTGCCATGCCCAAAGTTTTCTGATAAAAAAAAAAAATCAATGGACACAGTCATGATAAAATGAATTGAAACCCCAAAGGGGAGTTTGAAGAAAAATATGTGGCCCTTATTAGGCTAACTTTAAGAGTTTTATTTTGCTGACTAGATTTTTTACTCTCACTGGAGAGACACTATAGACCAGAGGGGAAGAGAAAGGACACAGAAATGCTGCCTGATGTAGAAATGTGATTGTCCTGCTGTATGATTTATGAGGGACTCTTTATTTCCAATAAATGCCTCACAAAACTCTTGAGAAAATCTACATTTTCATCACTGTGTTTCTAGTTTCTCTTTTATGGGAATAGATGCATTAAAATGCTATGTTGGCAGAGTCCGCAAAGGCGGGCCCAGTCACAGATGTATTACACAAAATGAGATAAACGTGGTTCCTATGCTCAAGTAACTCATGACCTGGTAGGACTGGAAAGACAATTAAAGAATAGTATCAAAACAGGTAAGGCTTTGGTCAGGACCCAAGTAAGGTGCAAAGTCAAAAAAATTCAGAGCAGAACAAGACATTATGACATCATCATACTGACACTGCTGATTCTGTATCATAAGCGCCACTTCTGTTTTTTATTGCCCCATCTGGTGAAGTTGAGGGTGGAGAGAATAAAGAATAGGGTGAGGATGTCTGATTTGTATCTTATTTGATATAACTTGACAATATATGGTTGTAAAAGTAGCAGAATATAATGCACATAAAGAGTTCTATCTGTTGGGATGGAGGGACCTCTAAGCATTATCCCAAAGCCAGAAATAATAATATGAAATAATATGATTTCACACATAAACAGACATACATGAACACACAAACCAAGTTAAAAAAAAACTTTAAAAAATTTACAACATATATCACAGACTATCATCTGCTCTCTCTTAAGTTGGTTTAAGTTTGCCTTCATTATGCACTTAGATTCTTACCAAGCTCTACCCTGCATCAGTATAAAAATGATTTATTCAAATGATTAATAAAAACATACATCTGAGAAACTGTCATTGACCAGAGAAGACAAGGGGGAAATGACAACTAAGTCCAATGTGGGATTCTGAGCTGGATACCAGAACAGAAGAAGAAAATGGACCAAGTATATGTTCAGATAATTCAAAAGAAGAAATGAATAAAAATGAATATGGCCAATGGAAAAGAAAAAGAAGTCCAACCTAACTAATAATCAAAGGAAACTGTATACATAATTCATATTCTAAGTTGTATATATAATCCATATTATATAATTTATACTATGCATACACCCCTTACATTGGCAAAGACCAAAAAAGATCAATTATATCCCCTCTAATATTGGTGTTAACTGGTAAAATCATAAAAGCATCCATTTTCCTCTACTTTTGCCTTGATTTCTTATTATTGTCTGTGCTTCAGATTAGTTTAGTGTTATCATCTGTCACTTGGACTACAAAAATAGCCTCCTAACTTGTCAACCTGTGTTCATTCTTGCTTCTGTTTATCAGTCCTTTCTACTCAGCCAAAGTTGTCTTTTTAAAAAAATAAATATAATATCCCCAATTGCTGCTTATATCTCTCCTAGCACTGGAATAACAATAACATTTTTAACAAGACTTATGAATCCACCAGTAGCATGCTCCCTACCTATATTTCCAGTCTCATTTTTGCTTAGTGCTTTCCCTCCCTTTCCATGGACTCCAGCCACACAAGCCTTCTTCAACCCCATGCCCCACCAGAAGCCACATTTGCAAAGGCTGAGGCTGAAAATCTCTTACCTGCCTCGACCCACACGCCCCCCCCCCCGCCCCCCACAATCTAGTTAACTCCAACTGAAGCATCAGGCCTTATCTGAAACATCTCTTCCTCCAGGAATTCATCCTTGAACTCCCAACTAGGCAGAACTCACACTACTATACTTTCTCACAGCACATGTGTCTTCTGTTAGTAATACTGACACAGACTCCACAGGGGCAGGGACGACACGAGGTGCTGCTCATCGCTGAACCCTAAATAGTACACGGTACTTGGCACACACTAGGAATTCAATCAATGTTGAATGAATCATAAATCTTTCTGGAGATCAGTTTGGCAACATACACTAACATTTTAAACACGTATATTCTTTGACTAGGGAATTTATTTCAGGAAATTTATTTTTCTTTTATTCTATTACGCGCACACACAGAGCACAGCATAAACACACAGGAGTGTATGGTTTTCCACGTTTCTAAGTACAGGTGACCCTTAAACAACTCAGGGAGTTAAGGGTGCCAACCCTCTGTGCAGAGAACCATCAGCACTCTGGATAGGGCACTCTGTACAGGTGCTTCCTCCCTGTGTCGTTTAATTGCTAAATTGTGTCTGACCCTTTTGGGACCCCATGGACTGTAACCTGCCATGCTCCTCTGTCCATGGGACTAGCCAAGCAAGAGTACCAGAGTGGATTGCCATTTCCTTCTCCAGGGGATCTTCCCGATCCAGGGATTGAACCCGAGTCACCTGCATTGACAGGCAGATTCTTTACCACTGAGCCTCCAGGGAAGCTCACTTTGTCCCTATGCCTGGTTCCAAATTCTCAGATTCAACCAACTGCAACTCCCATGAAACTGTAGTGTACATTTACTATTGAAAAAAAAAGCCGTGTATAATTGGACCCATGCAGTTCAAACCCATATTGTTCAAGGGTCAACTGTAAATGCATGTTATATAATCAGAAACAGAGAAGATATTTTTGCTGGGGTTGGGGGTGGTGAGGGTGTACCTTAATAGTGTTTTAGGTAGGTTGTATCTTTTCCCCAGATTAAAACAGTTGCATCAAAGAGCAAAGACATCAAAATATCACTATCATTCCAGCCCCCAAAGGGCCACATGTTAAAAGTCAGAGCAGGGAAGCACCCAGGGAGGCGCCAGGGCGGATAGCTGCCCGGCCAGTTCTCCGAAGGGCCTGCTGCCGGAGCTTAAGCGGCTGCAAGAGGAGCCAGTGGAGGGCTTCGGGTGACCCTGGTGTGTGCGGGCGACCTGCCTACTGAGGGGCACAGCACCCCAACGCCTATTCTGAGGGCTGCTACTTGAAGGCCGCCCTTTCGTCGTTCCCCAACCCCCTGCCTCCCCCCCCCCCCCCAACGCCCCGCCCCGGGCAAGATGCGGCGCCCCAATATCTAGGAAGATCAAGACGTGTGCATCTTCATCCTTCATTTCCCGCTAGATGACCCGGGCCAGGGTACACCCCCAGAACATGGGACCATCCTCCTGACTGAGCATCATCTCCCTCCTTAACGAACTCAACACCGTCTTACCTGTCAACTTGGACACCTCTGTGAGGCACAGGAAACGAGAGGAGGGTGAAGGCTGCAGACGGCATCAGGAGGCAGGTCCTGGGGACAAGGGTGGATGCTGGGTGAAATGGCATGAAGGTCCCACCTCGCGGCCCCATGCAGCATGAAGACCCGCTGCTCAACCAGGGCTCGGACCTCTTCTACCACCACGACCTCAGGTGGCGAGGCCCAAACTGAGGCCCACAGCTGAACCATGAGGACTGCTGACACCACGTCCCCATGAATAAGCTTTAAAATTTTTACCTCAGCTGGTCCAACCGGGGCCCTGGGCCTCTCTCGCTGTACTTCCTCTGCTTGGGGGAAAAGCCCCGCCCAGCCTGCGGTCATGCCCCGGGGGCCACAGTATTGCTGAGCTGCCGCTCTGGGTCCAGAAGGAGGGGGAGCCTGGGGAGAAGGGGCGCAGGGAGGTGATAGAGGAAGGAGTCAGTGCCTTGGGGCCTTGGACCGCCCCAACGCCACCCCACGCCCCGCCCTGCCGCCAGCTCCCACTGGGTGGAGTCAGACACTTCCGGGAAAGAGGTCCCAACTCACTAGTGGATGGGTTAACTTGGGTGTCATCTCTTCTCTCTGCTTTGGTTTAGAATCTAAAGCAACTTTAGGAGAAGCTCCCCCCCCCCCCCGCCCCCACAGACACACACACAAAGTCAGAACAGGTAGAAATTTTCAACTAAGTATAGGAAATCATAGAGGATCCAATGTCCAAGGATATCTTCAGAAGAAGATAGCATGTGAGCCAGGTTATAAAGGTAATTAGGATTCACATAGAAGAAGGGAGAGGCTGGGAACGGTGCAAGTCATGCAACAGGAAACAGGATCAGCACAAAGAGAGGTACAGAGACGGGGAAGGGGCAGGGCAAACAGGGTGCTCATTTGGCCAGGTGTAAGGGGTGTAGCAAAATACAAGATAGAAAAAGTATGCTGGGGCCAGATCAGCAGAATTTCAATAGCTGATGGGGAACAATCAGAGGATTAAAGTAGAGAGTAAACAAGCTTTACTATTTTTTCATTTCTTTTTTGAGATGGTAAAATATGCTATTATACTCAACACTGCAGTACATATCCTTATGTTTTTCTCCAGGCAGAAGCTTAAATGTAACTGTAGAAGTCCCTAAACATGGAATTGATGTGTGAAAGGGTATGCACATTCTAAATGTTGATAAATATTCTGAGATTGCCCTCTTTAGAGGTTGCATCAATTTACATACCTCAAAAATGTATAAACGTCTGTTTTCCTACACCCTTGTCGAAAATAGATTGTCAAAAATACATTTAAGAAACTTTGGATAGTAAGCAAAAAATACAGTTTTAGCTTATATTTGCTTACTCTGTGGGAACATAGATATTTTTTAAACTATCTTCATACCATTTGTTTTTCCTTTTGTGATAGATTTGTTCATGTTCTTTGCTAATTTTTCTATTAATAGTGTTGATCTTTTTCTTATTGATTTGAAGAAGTCCTTTATATTTTAACAGATTCAGCCCTTTGTCTGACAAATTTGTTACAAATATTTTTCCCTGTTTATGATTTTAATTTGACTCAATTTGTAGAGTTTCCTACCATGTGGAAATATTTGATCTTAAGAGCCAAACTTATCAATATTTTCTGTTATGTCTCCTGAATTTTATCATGCTTAGAAATTTCTCCTCTATTCCAAGATTATTAATTTTTTCCATTTTTTCCCCTACAACCTTGGTAGTTTAGCTTTCATGTTGGTAGTCCATCTGGCACTCATTTTGGTATAAAGACTTAGGAGAAATACAACTTTATTATTTGACAGGTGGCTACCCAATTGTCCTAATACCATTTACTGAACTGTAAATATTTCCCACTGATTAAGATAGGCAAACTTTATCAAATCTTAAATTCTTATAAAAACATTGGGTTCAATTTCTGATTCTATTTTGTCTATTGTTCTGCTTGTTTATTCCTGCATGGGTTTATTTATTTATTTATTTTTTTTACCCAGTGTCAAGTTTTACTAGTAATTTCAAATACAAAATGAAGGAAAAGGCAGACAAAGCATGAAGAAACTTGGGCATCTCACTTGTTCTCCACATTTTTCTTCTCACATGGGGCATGTGCTCTCCAATACAGATTAATAAATGAGTCTAGGATAAAACTGAGTGAATATTCAATTTTATCCATAACTCCCATGAAAAAGAAAAAGTCAACATGCTTCCTACACATATAATAATCCTCTAAATTATGCACTCAGACAAAAGTGCCTGCATGGGTTTAACTATATTAATTACCATCACCTTAAATAATTGTAATATCTTTTAGGATTATTTTTTATTTCTCCATTTCAGAATTATCATATTCTAGCATACTTATTTTTCCATGAGACCTCTCAGATCAGAAAAATATGCAAAAGCCCTGATGGTATTTTTATTAAAGCCCCATTAAATTTATAGTTTAATTTCAGAAGAATTGGCAGCTTTATAATAATTTGTGCTCCTGGCCTTTCCATTTATGAAGTCTTTTTTGGGTGTGTGTCTTTCATTAGCATTTCAAAGTTTTCCTCATAAAATGTTATGAGTCTCATATTATATAAAAAGATTATTTGTCAGCTAGTTAGATAGTTAGGAGACGAACAAAACTGAAGGTGGGGTGGTCAGTTAAGAGATCACTCCCCAGGCAAGACTTAATGCACAGCTGAGTTATAGGAAGGCAGTCAAAGTCAAAACAACAGAACTTTTTTCTATATTGAAAACTGGAAGCCAGGGAGAAAAAAAATTTAAAAAGGAATCAAAGCCTTCTCTAAGGTTTTGAGCTTAAGAATGATGAAGTTGGGGTAGTATTATCAGGACATGATAAGAAGGAAAAGAATCCAATTGTGAACAGAAAGATGATCTATATGGTTTGGAAAATACTGGCTCTTGGGGTCCAGCAAGATGTACAGGTGGAAATGTCCATCAAGTAACTGGAAACAAATGCCTGGAAAGTGAAGCCAATAGGATTGAGAGTCAGAACCCTTCTGAAAAGTGGGATTAGCTAGACAGAGGAAGATGAGGACAGACCTTGGAGACAATCTTGTTTGAGGAGAAGAAGAAAGAAGAGCCAGCAAAGGAATGAGGAAATGAGCAGCAGCTCAAGTATTGGAAGAACGAGCCTGGTGAGAGTCAGAGAGAAGGGAAGAGAGTGGTGAAGGAAAGCACTGGTGTACTTGCCTTCACAGGGGGCCCTTGCATCAGTGACCAGCTATCTGAGGTTCAGATCTTGCTCCATCACCTAGGAGTTGTATGGCCTGAGGCTAGTCAGGTAAGCTCTCTGAGCCTCAATTTCCTCATCTGTTAAATGGAGATAATAAGAGTGCCCACCTCATAATGCCATTGTATGATTAAAAGAGATACTTCTTTTAAAAGATAGCTAACACTCAGAAATACTAGCTCCCTCCTTTCCTCTGTGTCTGCTAAAGCTCATAAAGGTTAACAGGCATTCTATACACACAGAGCTAAGGATCAGCAGAATCTCTGATACCCGTACACTGGAGTTACCTCATTCTGGAAGAATGTATGGTCCACGGCAGTCAGTGACATCAAGGAGGTTGAGAGTTTGGCATTTAGGACATAATAGGGGAGTCAGTAGGGAAAATTAGCTTCAGAACAGTGGACAGAAAAGCCAGCTTAAGAACTGCGGGGCTACCGGTTATATACCCATAAAAATGAACACAGGATTTTGAAGAGATACATATGCACTTTCATGTTTATAGCAACATTTTTCACAAAAGCAAAGATATGGAAACAACCTAAATGTTTATCAAAGAATGAATGGAGAAAAATGCATACACACACACATACACACATGCAATGGAATATTAGTCAGCTGTGAGAGAGGAGGGTATCCTGCCACTTGGACCTCGAGTACATTTTGCTAAGTGAAGTAAGTTGAAGACAAGTACTGTATGATATCACTTACATACAGAGCCTAATAAAGTCAAACCCATGAAAAATAGGGCAAAAAAATGGTGGTTACTGGAAAGCAGGAGGGATGTTAAGGCTACAAACTTGCCAAGAGTAGTAGTTAAGCCATAGTGATCTAATGTGCAATGGAATGAATACAGACAGCAATATCATCTTATAACTACATACTGTGATAAATATAGATAACAACAGCAACCACATTACAATACATAAATGTATCAAAGCAACATGTTTTACACTTTAAAGTATATGACAATTTTAGGACCATTTGTTATCTGTCAAATATATTTGACTTAAATAAATAAATGAGTGGTTTATTCCCTTTTGTGGGCTCTGTTCTTGCTCTCCCGGTAGCCTATTTCTATGTATCCTTCTACAGTTTCTTTGTTGTTGTTTTTTAATCACTAAGTCCTATCAGATTCTTTGTGAACCTATGGACTGCCGCCCACCAGCCTCTTCTGTCCATGGGCTTGCCCAGGCAAAAATACTGGAATGGGTTGCCACTTATTTCTTCAGGGAATATTCCTTACCCAGGGATCAAACCCAGGTCTCCTGCATTGACCGGGCAGATTCTCATCACTGAGCCACCAGGGAAGCCCAGAGTTTCTTAACGTGTATACAAATGTTACATGGATTAAAGTGAAGTGCATTTTGTACACTGTGTTCTGTATCTGACCTTTCTTAACAAGTATCCTGGACTTCTTTCCATCTCTGTATATACAGAACATCTTCCTTCTTTTGTACAGCTGCATCCAGTGTGTGGATAATATTATAATTTAATCTCTTCTCTGTTGATGAACATTTGGGTTGTTTCCAATCTCCTGCTTCCATAAATAATGCTAGGATGGTTAACCATGTACACTGCTGTTCCCCACAGCAGTTCTTTCTTAGGATAAATTCCCTAAAATAAAGTTCCTGCAGGACAAAGTCTTAATCAGACCTAAAAAGAGGACCAACCTATAAACACAGAAACCAAGGCTATAATTCTTTCATGAGATGTCCAGTTTAGCACAGGAACAGATAACTAAAAATCCCTATAGGAAAGATATTTCTTACTTCCTTTCTTTGTAAAAATAGAAAACAAACCCAAACACCCATGATGAATGTGCGTTTCACTCCCCATTTAATGTGCTTGGCTCCAGATGTTATAGAAATCATTGAGTTCGATGTAGTCTGTGATAATTGTTATTCACAATGCTGTTCAAAGTCTTTTGAATAACATCAGGGAGGTGGCTGAGTTTTGCAGGAGTTAATACACAGAAACCTGAGCTGGAGTTCGTTAGAGTGACAGCTATAGAGCCATTTTATCGTTGTACAGCTTCAGCAATCTTCTATCCCTAAATTGAGTTATCGGGTTAGTGGTTGGCAGGCATGCAAGTTTAAATTGGCATTGTTCTGTCTCTCCTTTCCTGGCAGTTTCCAACACACTCAACCCAGAAACAACTATATAACCCTCAATTAATAACAAGGAGCCTCTTCTTCCATGAAGCTTCATGCACTAAGCCAGCTTAGCATGTCCATGGCTAGGAGTAGAGACTTGGCACTTAAACTACATGGGATAGAAGAGCCAGAGAGACTAAAGAGCCAAGAGGAGGCCTGTTCTGCTTATTCCTGACATAAATCATTTCCTTCTAGATGATTCTGACAGTAAGAGAGCTGAATTTTTCCAGAGAAGCTCCATCCCAGCTCATGTCTTCATAAATCAGAACAAGCTGCCCTCCCACAGTCTGCTCCAAGTACCAGCCCTTCAGGCTCAGCAGACCAGCCCAGGCACCCCAAAAGAGAGTGCAAGAGGCCCTGTAATCAGGTGGTGGTTGGTGGTTTAGTTGCTAAGACGTGTCAGATTCTTGTGATCCCATGGACTATAGCCCACCAGGCTCCTCTGTCCATGGAATTTTCCAGGCAAGAATATTGGAGTGGGTTGCCATTTCGTTCTCCAAGGGATCTTCCTCTCCCAGGGATCGAAACTGCATCTCCTGCATTGCAGGCTAATTCTTTAACACTGAGCCTGTAATCAGAGAGACTTGGAAAAGAAAGAACAGAAACAGCCCAGCAGGCAGAAATATGAAAATACCTGAGTCTTGTGCTTTTTAGCACTTTCTTCTTCCAAAGAAGTTAGAAAACTGCCTGCAAGGCAGAAGGAGCAGAGAAATGGACCAGCTAAGCTGGATGCAGCCAACCACCGAACCAGCAACACTACCATCTGAAGATGGTGCCACCTGGTGAAGATTCAGAGTGAAGTGCACAGGATTAAGGAAAGTAGTTTGAGAAACTCCAGTGAGCTAGGAAAGCTGGGGGGAAAGGCCTCAGAAATCAAAGTGCAGCTGCTCTTTTCGCTGTTTAAATCATTATATATTAGCTGCAAATTTGGTTTGTTGGCCAACACTGAGAAGTGACATATGGCCAATAAAAGGTTTCGGTGGAGTTTTCCATCTGCTGTTCAACTTTACCATGGCTTCCACACGGGTGGCTCAGTATCAGAGCAGGCTGCACTTCAGAATCCTTTCATGAGCGGCTCACATGTTGTTAGATGGGCACAATTCTGTGCTGGTTTATGCCATCAATCCAGCAGAACGTTTGACAAGTTGATGTGCATGTTTCCTGGAACTTGTCCCCTTCTCAGACTTAACAGCCTTCCAGAATCCACCGAATAAAAAGTGTCTGAGTGGACCAGCTCACTAGAGTGTTGCAGGTGGGGACACTGTAGGTTTTACAAATGGAGTTCTCCTGAGGCATCATCTGGACACTCTGCAAAAAACTTGTGAGAGACAACGACACTCTGGGTGCCCATTAAAACCCAAGCCAAACGCAAAGGAATTGGCAAGGGCCAGCAGCTCAGGTTTGGAAATCATTTTCACTGGTTTTTAAAATGCAGAAAGAAGAGCTTTATTTTCCTGGTCCTCCGTTGTTCATTTCACTCACCTTGGAACTAGAATTGCCTGCAACTGAACAAATGGAGGCAAGCTGGTCCGCTGCGTGTTGTACTCACGGAGATCAGCTGGTCCTGCTATCCTCTGCCACTAACATTCAGGGACACCTTGATGGACCTCCCAGTAGTGGGGGACACATTGTTACCCCAAAACTTGGAATGTAAGGAATCAAGATAGTCAAATCATTCGAATCCTCTTAGACGTGGAATGGGGGGATGAATGATGCCCACAGTGACTTCTTCAAGTAAAAGAATAAAACTTGTCCTGCTTGGTGATTTCACTGTAACCCAAAGGGACACTAGCAGGACAAACAGTGATGCACGCCACTGTATCTGCTTGCATTCTGCATGACGCTGTCATTTCTCCTGCCTGCTCTGCACCTGTCAGAAATATACAGTCAAGAGGCAGAGTGAGATTCAGGGCTAGAATCAAAGGAAGCTCTGTCACAAACTCCTGTTTCGAATCTGTTGGCAGAGAGCTGGAGGAAGGACTGGAGGGAGACAGAGAAGAAAAAAGAGACTTGTTGAAATATTACATAGGAATTGATGTAAAAAATGAAAAGTCTGCAGGTCTGTGAGGAGGTGGCACAAATTATAACAATGAATCATTTGCACAGAAATGGGCTTTCAGTTCTGACAGACAGCGAGGATTTAGGAAGATAGATTTCTCCAGGGTTCAGCAGGAAACTAAGGCAAGCAAGCCAGTGGCGCTTGGGGTTTGGCAGAGAGTCACAAACTCTTTCTTGAATGTGCTGACTTGGCAAAAACTCAGTCCTCAAGGAACCAGCCTCTCTGGAGACTGTAATTTTTTTAACCCCTGTGTATTTGAGGGAAAATTTAATCTCTCTGCCTCTGGCTCATTTACACTTAAATCATCAAAAAAACCTTTTGTTTTGTGCTATTTGCTGGTCAGTAAGTTAGAGTCTAATTTAGAAACAGTTTCTAGTCCTGGAAAAGGACCCAAACCAGACACAAGATTCAGACCAGCTTCTGCTTGTATTACAAACAGTGGGAGGTTATTTCTTTGGGTCACACTGAGGGGAAGTGGGTCTCTACATTTTAACCCCTAGCTCCCATGTCCCCACCACCCAATGCATACACACAATCAAACACTCACACTCACACACTTAACTAAGGAACTGTGTCTGGTAAGAGATCAATGGAACAGGATGCCTGAATAGCTCTGTCCCCTAAAATTAAACTAGGTCATAGTAAACCTTTAAATATTAATAGTAATGGTGAAGGATGATGGCAGGTTACTTCATCCTCCTGAGCTTCAGTTTCTCATTCATAAAGTGTGGGCAATGATAATAGTGGCTGGCTTCCCAATGGTGAGCCGTAAATGCATTGATCCCCAAGGGGTGCTCAGCACTCTGTCTGCACACGGTAAATACTTACCCAGGGCCTGCTTCAGATCAATGAGCTGTAACCCTTCCTGGCAGGTGGAGCAGACGCCCATCAGACACCTGTTGCACCACCTCACCTCTAGGCCTCCCCGACCCTCATCTCCACTATCACTGCAGCTGGAGCACTCACGCAGGCGCAGTAGGGTGGTACACGCTACATGCTTGTTCCCCGGGCCTCTCAGCTCTTCCACAGCTTCTCTGTGGTCTTTGGTTGGGTTCTCCCAGAAGCGGACTTTGAAATAAAGATTGGAACACTAAGAGAGGAATAGGGGAATGAGATGGGGTGAGAAGAAAGCCCATAAATGGTCTGACAATGAGCAGGTGATTGCTGTGGTAACTGAGGTTCGACCACTGGAAGCCTCTGGAATAATGGACAGCACAGGCTTCATCATTGGTTCACACAAGGATAAAGACACTGGCTTATTTAGTCATGGACTCTCAGCTCTCCACTCTCCGGGATGGTAACTCTCTGGGGAGGGCTATGAGTGTGCTCCCCTAGAAAGCCAGGTTGTGGAGGGAAGTCAGGAGCACTGAGGGGCATGGCAGGGCCTGACCAGAGGGCAACAGGAGCCCTGGTCTTCTCAGGGCCCCCGCTCAGGGCCCACGCCTGCAGCCAGGAGGCGCTAAGAACCCATGGAGGAAACCTGGTAGCCAGGTCCTGGTGGGGAAGACAAAAGCTGGGAGATAAATTCTCCCCTTCTCCCCTCTGTCAGGGTCAACTGAACTCAGAGGCATCTTGTATCTCTTCCAGGAAAATGGCCTCAGGAGGTGAAGTAACTTCCAGAAGGCTGGCTCCGCAGCCCAACCTCACCTCACCCCTCCTCCTCCCTGTCTCACCTCCCTCTGCCCTCAGTCTTGCTCCAGGCATCATGTTCTTCCAGTAAACCTGGGCTTTGGGGGAAGCCAGGCTAACACTGCAGGGTTAATTTCATATTAATTCCAGTCTTCATCACTCTACCAACCTCACAGAGACTAGACTTTACTGAGAGTGCCAAGAGCCATGATGAGGAATATCTATTACCTACTAAGAAGGTAAGACCCGCTAAGTCATCCAGGAGAAAGTGTTGGATCCTGGTACCTGGGTATCCCCAGAATGGGAAATACAGCTCCCAGATAAAATGGCCCACAAATGCAAGGCCTCCAGGCACCCTAATTAAAGAAAGTAGAATTCATGAAGAGTTTGGGAGGTTGCATGACATGGCTTCCTCAACTGGACCTAGAAGCAGAGTCAGTGGCCTAGCCATGTGATTTGTCTACAGAAACCCTTCCCGGTGGCTCAGAGCGGGAAGAATCTGCCTGCGATGGAAGAGGGTTCCATCCCTGGGTCAAGAAGAGCCCCTAAAGGAGGGAATGGCTACCCACTCCAGTATTCTTGCCTGGAGAATCCCATGGAGAGTGGAGCCTGGGGTCACAGAGTCAGACATGACTGAGCCAGTTCCACTTCCACAGCAATCCTGGGCCACCCCTGCCACTAACCAGTGGAAAACAAGGATCACGTGATGGAAAGTGGTCCTTAACCAAAACTGTCATAATAAAGCAGACAAGCAGTTAACTTGAAGTGTTTCATGACTAATTCCAGTTTTTGAGATTTTAAACACATTCTGAAAGAAAAAAAAAATAAGTGTCTTCTTTTATCGGGTAAGGCAACAGCTGTCAGGACACATAACTGTCCTGTATCTGCCACACCGAAGCAGCCATCGCCGTATTCCTGCTCACTGGTCCTGGCACTGAGGCGTTGGTCCCAGTCCCAGGCTGTTTCCACCCCAGCTGGGGACTTCCTGGAAATACTCTACAGAATAAATAATACATCGTTTTGTTTCTGTGAGGACACTTGTCACTGTTTCACTCGCCAAAGCGCGGATGAGTATTCAGCGAGGATTGTGGCCCCCGCTGCCTGCCATGAATGGGCAGGGGCAGCCGTGACCCACGTGATGTGATTTCAGAATGCTCTCCCTGCCCGGAATCCACCACAGGAAGCCGCCGGAAACCCGCGGAAGGGGAATAGCCATTATGGAGGCCTTGCCCCGCGCTCTGCAGTAGAGCCTTTCTGTAGTGTCACTGGGGTGGGCAGTTTCTCCAGAAGGCTCCGAGAGCAGACACTTTAGGCTCTGTGGTCCACGGCCTCTGTCAGGAGCTCTAACCTTGCCACTGTAGTGGCACACAGCCACAGGTAATAAATACACGAAGGGCACAGCTGTGTTCTCCTAAACTTTATTTATCAAAACAGGATCTGGTGAGCGGGCCGGAGTTTGCTGTCCCCTGGGCCAGCTTCTGTCACACTCATGACTCACGGGTGGCAGGCACTGTCCTCCTGGTGGAGTTTCTCCTCATGTGCTGCCACTCTTGAGAGAAATTACTCAGCAAATCGCAAAGCTTAGATTTATCATCCACTCTTCTGGAGATGAGACGAGGAGCTCTCCAGAATAAATGCGAAGTACCAGGAGAGGGGGCAAAGAAGGTCAGAGGGAGAAGAGCGGGAGAGGTGACAAATCGTGAGGCTTAAGGCGAGGTGGGGAGGAGGGGACGCAACGGGCTTTGAGGACACATGGTGACAAGGTCCCCTCACCTCAGCTTTCCTGGACCCTTGTAGGCAGCACCACACCATGGTTAAAAGCAAGGTCTGAAAGTCAATTGCTTTGACATAACTGACTTTGCTCCTGACGGGGGGTGGGACCTTGGGTAAATTATTAATCTTGGATGCTAGACTTCTCATCTGTCAAGGGGAGACTCTTAAGATTGAAGGGAGGATTAAATGAAATAATTCATGGAAGGGGCTTGGCAAAGTGCCTGGCATGATGTGAGCATTCAAAAAAGGCCAGCTGTTATCATCGTTCATTACCTAGAATGAGCCCAAGGAAGCAAAGGCTATCAGAACAAAACAGCACTGTAAGTTCACAAATGCTCTTAGTGAATATTCCATACGGCTCCTGCCTCCCTTACAAATAAGAAACTAACCGGGGAGCCCACTGGATGGTCTGGACTAATAATCACAGCAGCAGTGACACACTCAGACATAAGCTTCTGCACAAGCCAGGGATCCATCAATTCTTTCCCCAAAGAAGTCTCCCTTCCCCAGCTTGGTGCACTTAAATGTATTATGTCTTAGCAGTTGATTACTGACACCATAGGGAGTGCGTCTGTGATCCAACCTAAACGCCAAGGCTTGTTTTTCTAGTCATTTATTATAAGCATGCTTTTTTCAGGGCTTACTGAGGCTTGAGCAGTAATACGAGAGACTACAAATTAGATAAAATATAGTGTGTGAGGTACACAAAATTAATTGCTTTATAATTCCATTTGCATGAAGCCCGGTGATACCCTTTTCGCAGCTCTTGAACTGAAGGGGTCAACATATGACAAGAGCATTTAAGACAGGAAATCAAGTTTCTAAGCAAAAGTGTAGCCACCAACAGAAAAACTGAAAAATGAGAATTGGAAATTGAATGTTTCCTGGACTTGAAACACTCATTTATAGTGGAACCCCACTGGCCTCAACCAATCTCTCCCAGCCTTTCAGGATTCATGCATGTTCTGCATCTCTGGGAAGTTTGTACCCATGCCTCCAGTCTAAACTGGTTTCTGGCTCCTCTCACTGCCCACAGGACAAATAGCAGTGGTTCTCCGTCCTGGAGGCACATTAAAATAATCTAGGGAGCTTTTTAAAAATCTTAATGGCCAGGCCCTCCTCTAAGAAATCTGATTTAGTTGGTCTAGGTAGGACTCGACATTAGCATAGCTTTTCACATTTTATCAAAATAAAACATTACATACAGAAATGGCTCGATACATTTTCACAGTGGGACATGCCTAGGTAGCCGGCATGTAGATCAAGTCACAGAACTGGACTTCTCTGGTGGCCCAGTGGTTAGGAATCTGCCTGCCAATGCAGGGGACACAGGTTTTGATCCCTGATCCAGGAAGATCCCACGTGCTCCAGGGCAACTAAGCCTGTGCTCTATAGCTACTAAAGCTGTGAGCCACAAATACTGAAGCCCGCGAGCCATAGAGCCTGTGCTCTGCAATAAGGGAAACCACCATAATAAGAAGCCCACACACTGCAACTAGAGAGTAACCCCTGCTTGCTGCAAATAGAGAAAGCCTGTGCACAGCAATGAAGACCCAGCATAGCCAAAAATAAATAATTTTTTTAAAAAGATACTACCCCAGTACCCTTCCCAGACTTATGCCTTCCAGGGTAAACATCTTCCTGAATTCTAATAGTTTAGGATGAATTTTATCTGTTTTTGACATTAATGGAATCATACAATATAACTCATACTTAAATAAACTTCTGAATTTTGGAGCAGTCCAGATTTGCAACAAAAAAAGACGTGTGGATAATACAGAATTCCAGTGTACCCTGCACCTACTTTTTTCTATTGCTAGCATCTCCCATTGTGATGGTACCTTTAAGCGTGACACTTGTTTATCTGGTTTCTTTCACTCAACATTATAGTGAAGAGATTTATCCATGTTGTTGCATGTAGTCAATCTTTCCTTCTCATTACTAAGTGGAAGTCCATTATGTGAATGATCCATAATTATTTATCCATACTACTGTTGATGTGCGTTTGAATAGTCTCCAGTTGGAGCTGTTATAAGCAGTGCTGCTATGAACATTCCAGTAGGCATTTGTATTTTTTAATAGCTCTCCAGGGATTCTAATGTGCAGCCAGAACTGAAAACCACTCATAAAATCTAGGCCAAACAATTCATTCCTCCTTGGGTTGTTGTTCTTATCCCTCAGATTTTTCTCCTCTGTGACGGGATGGGGGTGGGGGGTACAGGGGAGGGGAATGGGAGCAGGGCTTGGTGTTTTCATGCTCCCCGCTGGAGTCAAATAGGTCTTCAACAAATGCTTGTGTGTTGATTCATCAATTGATGACGCTTTCCTATTTCGCAACACCCTTTGTTCCAGGTTAGGATCATTTCTGTGCTTCAGCATCACTCCTGCTGATGCAGCAAGCTGTGTAGCACCCACCTTTGCTTCATCTGGGCTGAAATAAGCCCCCTCTCTGGTCCTCACAAGCTAGGTGCTAAACATTTGAAAGAGCAAATCTCAAGTACCAGTTTAAGAGGAGACAGATGTTCAATGAGCCCAGGTCAATTCAGGTGATGATCCATTCATCATTTGCCATTTTTCCTTTGTATAGTGATTGCTTCTCAACTTTTGTCACTTTCCTAAAAGGTATTTATCTTTTTATTGATTTGTTTGATAGTGGATCTTCATATAATGAAATTAACACTTATTGCCCTGCATGTTACCCTTATTTTCAAAGTGCTGTATGCTATTGAATTCTGTATGTGGTCCTCTTGGAAACCTCATATGGTAGCCTTTTTTCCCCCTTCCCTGGTCCTCCCCAGAGCCCCGGTATGCAAAGCAAAACTGCCATATGCCTGGCATCATGAAATTCCAACCTATTTTCATTGAGATGTCAGACCCAGATTTCTACTGGAAAATGAGGTTATACCACCACAAGTTTTTCTAGGTATTAGTTTCCTACTGTAACGAATTGCCATAAAGTAGATGGCTTAAAGGGCTTCCCAGGTGGCTCAGTGGTAAAGAATCCACCTGCCCGTGCAGGAGACACAGGAGAGGCAGGTTCATTCCCTGGATTGGGAAGATCCCCTGGAGTAGGAACTGGCAACCCACTCCAGTATTCTTGCCTGAATAATCCCTTAGAATAGCCTGGCAGGCTGCAGTCCATAGAGTCACAAAGAGTCAAACATGACTGAAGTGACTGAGGATGCACACAGGTGGCTTAAAACAACATAAATTTATTTTCTCACAATTCAGGAGGCTCCAGTTCCAAATCAAGGTGTTGACAGGACTGATTCCTTCCAGAGGCTCTGAGGGAGAAATCATCTCATGTATCCACCACCTAGTCTGTTTCCTGCTAAGATGGAGAGATGCTTGCAAGCAGAAAGCACATCTTACTCTCCCCATTTTGGTCTTGTGTACCAAGCACACAGTAGGACATCAGTAGGTGTCCCTGGTCAGCTCAGTGGTCCATACTGAGTGCCGTGAGCCAGCTTGCTCTGCGCTTATAGCTTCTCACTCATCATGGCTCAGCTGGTAAAGAATCCACCTGTAATTCGGGAGACCTGGGTTCGATCCATCAGTCGGGGAGATCCCCTGGAGAAGTGAAAGGCTACCCATTCCAGTATTGTGGCCTGGAGAATTCCATGGGGTCGCAAAGAGTCAGACATGACTGAGCATCTTTCACTTTCATCATGCTTTATTTGGGTTGCACTGCTTGAAATTCTTCTACAACATGTTCTCGTAGCATTTGTCCTCATCACTCTTACCCACCTGTACTCACCATAAAGGAACCAGTCAGCCAGGTCCATGGCCCACTGTCCTCATATGTCCTGCTGGGTGGGGCTGGTCACACGAGCATGGCTCTGAAGGGGTGTGCGCGTACATCTTCAGTCACTTCAATAGTGTCCAACCCTTTGTGACCCTATGGACTGTAGGTTCCTCTGTCCATGGGATTCTCTGGGCAAGAATACTGGAGTGGGTTGCCAGCACGGAAGACCTCTGAAGGAGTGAGTTAGCTCCAACATTAGAAATCGCACCTTAGTGCTCGCTTCGGCAGCACATATACTGAAAGCAATCGCAACCTTGGCCCTTGTCATTTCTGCTGTGCCAATGTTATTGTACAAGCATGTTTTCAGCCTGCTTGGGACATGGTGCACCTACCTGTAAACGGACAGTCTTGACCAGCCCAATCACAGAGATTAACTAAGTTCTTAACTCAGCAATCTAAAAAACATAAACAACTGAAACAAGATGGAGAAGCCCAAAGTATCTGAGTTCCAACCTCCAAATAGAGGTAATGCAACCAGCTAGTGTTCAAAGAGTGAGCCAGATGACTGAATTCACTTCTCAAGAAGCCTGACGTATAAGAAGACAATTGGCATTCAAATTTCTCTTGTCTCTGGTGAAAGATGATGGAGGGTTTGCTTTAAGAATATTCCTGTATTCTTGGTGCAGTAGCATTTAGGA